GGAATGTATCACAGCAAGAGTGAACTGTAAGGTAAACTATGGACTTTAGGTGATAGTGAGGTCAATGTAGGCTCATTGACTGTAACAGATGTACCACTCTGGTTTGGGATGCTGATAGTGGGACAGGCTGTATGTGTGGGGACAGGGGCTATATGAGAAATCTCTGTACTTTCTACTCAATTTTGCACTGAACTTAAAACCCTAAAAAGTAAAGATTTTAATTAAAAAAATAAAATCAACAAAATTTAATTCAGAAAACAGGCAGCTCTGATAGTTACCAAAGAACTGGGAAAATATTTGGTTCCTCAATGTAGCCTGGACACTATGGTTAGCTTATGCATTAATTCATCTATTCTTCAGAACAGTGATAGCATATAACAGACTTTATTTTCAAAATTCCCAAAACTCGGGAGTTCCCTGCCAGTCCAGTGGTTAGGACTTGGGACTTTCACTACCATGGGCCTGGGCTCAATCCCTGGTCAGAGAAATAAGATCCCACAAGCCTCACGGTGTGGCCAAAAAAAACAAACAAACAAAAAATCCCAGGTACTTCCCTGGCAGTCCAGTGGTTAAGACTCTGCCCTGCCAATGCAAGGGATGCAAGTTCGATCCCTGGTTGGGGAACTAAGATCCCACATGCTGCGCAGCATGGCCAAAAGATTTAAAAAACAAACAAAAAAAGAACACCCCAGAGAATCTGGGAGTTCTAAGTAAAATAAATAAATAAACAAACAAATAAATAAAATCCCCAAACTCAATACACTTGGGAATAGTAAATAAACGAGAGACAAAATAAAAACAAGTTCTCAAAAACAATGCCATTTTAGTGCTCGAAAAACTAAAAGCTACCTAAAAGAGCTATTATGCTAGATTCTGAATTTTTTTAAAGTACATACCACTGGAACTCATATAGCAAACTAAAACAATTTGCTTAACATATTTAATAGTGATATGGTATAATATACATAATTTATATCAGTTTCAATTAAGAACTTAGAAGAATCTCATAAGGGTTTTTTCTCTTTTTTTTTTTAAAAAAAAAAACACTTTTTCTTTTTTTTTTCCTGGACGCGGGCCTGTCACTGTTGTGGCCTCTCCCGTTGCGGAGCACAGGCTCCGGACGCGCAGACTCAGTGGCCATAGCTCACGGGCCCAGCCGCTCCGCGGCATGTGGGATCTTCCCGGACCGGGGCCCGAACCCGTGTCCCCTGCATCGGCAGGCGGACTCTCAACCACTGCGCCACCAGGGAAGCTCTGCTTTCCTTTTTCTTTCTTTATTTTTGGTTGCATTGGGTCTTCGCTGATGCACGGGCTTTCTCTAGTTGCTGAGAGTGGGGGCTACTTTTCGTTATGGTGCGTGGGCTTCTTATTGTGGTGGCTTCTCTTGTTGCAGAGCACGGGCTCTAGTCACGTGGGCTTCAGTAGTTGTGGCACGCAGGCTCAGTATTGTGGCTCACGGGCTCTAGAGCACAGGCTCAGTAGTTGTGGCACACGGGCTTAGTTGCTCTGTGGCACGTGGGATCTTCCTGGACCAGGGCTCGAACCCGTGTCCCCTGCATTGGCAGGCAGATTCTTGACCACTGCGCCACCAGGGAAGTTTCTTTTTTTTGGGGGGGGCCGCACTGCGTGGCATGTGGGATCTTAGTTCCCCAACCAGGGATCTAACTATGTTCAAGTCTTATCTTCATGTCCAAGTGATAAGAATATGCATACACACCACAGTTCTCTGGAATCCCTCTTTAGAGGTTGCAAAATCAACAGAACTCAATATGGCCCACAAAAATGTTCTGTTTGGCCAGAAAAAGTTCTTTAAAATGTTAGTAGATTTACGTGAGACATGGACTCTTTGGTTCAGCCTCTGCCCCAACATTCTTATTTTCCTACATCCAGCCCAATTCATTCAAGGTTGTTATTTGCTTAACCCCACAGTAACTTTGGTTTTAGGCCCCTACCCTATATTGTTATTTGTGTAACTAAAGTTATACTCAGACTTCTTTGAAAACTTCCTTATGAAATACGATATATTTCAATACATTTGTATTAGAAAGGAATATATTCCCTTCTCTTTCAATCCTCCTGACTTTGAGGGCTAGCACTTAATTAGTCACATATGTATTTTCAGAACAATGCCATGAACAATTCTATTGCAAAGAGAAGATGGTTTATTAATGTTTTTACTAATCCACACATAATTGTATGACAGAATATAGATTACTAACAGTTGGATAAAAGCTTATGATCAAGTGTGAGGAACGTTTCCTATTTCTGAAGTGAATAGTTTTGCTCAAAATTAATATTTGGCAGTATTTCTAAGCTGTTTGTTTTATCCTTCCATTAAACATACACACACATATGCGTAACACTGAAATATACAATCCTACTTTAAGAATAAATGTGTTAAAATTTACATGCCTTCTATGGATAAACCAAAGTGATGCTGGTGGATCTGAAACTATATATTAGAACTCTGCATGAAATATGATGTAACCAATGGAAAAACTTTTTCTTACACAGCTAATTCTGCAAACACATACCTGACAGAGTATACTAAGGCAAAAGTTGGTACAAAACTTTCAAGTGATCATTCTCTATGTGGTTATGCCCAAGCCATCAACTATTAATGATAAATTAAAAGACTCTTTACCTGTCAGGACCTGAGTTCAGGCACTCAAAAGTTTCGTATTTCTCTTGCAGAAGCTGATGACAATACTAATCCCTGCACTGTGTAGGGAGGTGCATTCCTTGCACTGGCTTAAGTGCTAATGATTTCACCAACCCTTGAAGTGCAGAACAGTAAAAAAACAGTTTTCAGCCGTTTTTCTTACTGATTTCTCATTTTAAAAAATATTACAAAGATTTCAAATAGGTTTTAAAATAAATTATTTCTGTTTAAAAGGCAGTGCTTTAGTTTAAAAAAGACACACGCCAATCGATCTTTCTGGGTTACTGCACATATCACAAGATGGCCTTTTTCATCAATTAAAAACTTATACAAAGAAGCAACAACTTCACGCCTTCAAATCATTTTCTGATTTTACCTGAAAGCACCAAGATTTTGGCTACAGATATGTAAAACGGTCTTCCAGAAGGCAATCATAAATAGGTACTAGATGAGATTAGCTGGGTTAAAAAATGGTATCTCTCCTATTAACCCATTTATCACCCTGTCACCAGCATACAGCCCTAGAAGGAGCTGACAGTCAAGTTCACAACTATTAGTTTCTAAAGAAACAATATTATACTCTCCTAATAAGATAAAAATCAAGAAATGCTTCTCTATCTAAGGGCAAAATTAAGCTATGTATATATCTGGAAGGCCAAATCTATCTGTTCTGACTCCTTAAAACATGAAATTAATACAACTCCCCATTCTTTTATACTCTAAAATTAAACGGGTTTACACGACTCCAGGTATTTCCTACTGCTATAGGAGAACAAATTGAGAAATGTACCTTAGCTAGTTCTGAAGAAAATATTTTATGTATCTAAAAAAATTTAATGTTTTATATAAATCACTCTCCAAATCCTCTCTACTGTATGAATTTTCATTGAGAATACTAACGCTGCTTCCTTAAGATTCAGATCATTATGAGCTTGGCACCATTCAGTTATGCATATTCAAACATTTAAATTCTCTGAATTCTTTCCTGGCATTTCAGTAGAGGAGGATAAAAAAACAAACCTGAGCTGAAACCATGCCAGCTGGAGGGTACACACTTATTTTACTAGTTCTACCTATCTAAACTTGACAACATTTTAAAACCCTATATTGAAGGTAAATGTTCTCTATCTACAACAAAGAAAGCTTGCCTTGATATGCCTAGCTAAGGTGCTCCCATTTTTCTTCAGCTAAAGAAATTAAACAGTCTCTCTTTCATTTACCAAACAATTTTTTTAAAGTTGGCACTCAATCAAAGTCCATCTGAAGGATCTGTTCCTCTAACTTAAAATGGCAGCAGCTGATCTCAATTATGATCAACTGAACATAAGTACTTCTTGGCAATAATATGCTCAACTGCTACTTGCATTTTTTAATCTTTCTGTGGACAAGATATTTTAAGAAAAATCCACAAAATAAATATAGCCAGGCCTTAAAATGTTACTTGTATGCTTATTTTCAGTATAATGTAAAGAAGGGAAATAGCAATACAAAATGTAAATTAAAAGGTCAAATTTCTAACTTAATTTATATCAAATGAGAAGACTTTCTAAGAGGAAAAGTCTGAGTAGTAGAGGCTAACCAATAAGCCATTTTAACAAGGAATGTGAAGAAGTCAAGAGTAAAAAGTAATTCAGATCCAATATTAATACACTTGTGAGTTTATACCAAACTTGATAACTTTTTAAAATGCAGTTTATGTGGGAATAAGAATTCAGGCCAAAACTGATTATTCAATTTAATTCTTACTGTAATTACAAGGTCCAAAATATTTCTTATTTTAAAGATGCTAATTGAGTCCCTCACATTCTATACCATGTTTCTTTTAAACATATTCTTCCCCTGTAATTAACTCCATCATCTAGTTTCTAACCTTCACATCAGATCTCATAAAGCAAATATTTTTCTCCCAATTATGAGTAACACTATCTCAATTTTAATCTATTTTTCAAGAGAAAACAAAAAAACTTTAAGAAAACCGCATATGAACTAAGCCTGCCTGAGAAACTTTTCATGTCTAAAGTACTTAATTTTTAAATAACTCTTCAGCTTTACATGATTGGTATTATATTTATTTTACACTCATGAAATGTGATCTGCCTAGGGTCACAAAATAAGTTAATGTTTGAAGCAGAATTTAAATTGTTACATTTCCTTTATCTTACATTACTCAAATATCTCCTATGAACATCTAAAGAATTTTCCTATTTCAAAAGTAACAAACATTAATATCTTAATTTGCAAGTGTATATATTATGTATACACACACACAAAAGCACATACAAGTACATATTATACATAAACACAGAGACAGCAAATTAAAAGGGAAAACAGTGCTTACCTTCATCTCCTTCTGGTACATATGAAGCTGTAATAATGTCAATATCAGCACAATTCATCACAATCTGATTGGTTGCCTGCCTCACCTAAGGAGAAAAAAAAAAATCGGCAATGTCAGAAATAGCCCAGGTTAATAATACGTACATCTTCATCTCAGCCTAAAATATGTCACAGGCAATTTTTAAAAACCCATACATCAGCGGTTCCCACCTTTTTGGCACCAGGGACCGGTTTCGCGGAAGACAATTTTTCTATGGATGGGGGGGGTGCGGGTTTCAGGTGGTAATGGGAGCGATGGGGAGCAGCAGATGTTCAGCTTCACTCCCTCATCCGCTGCTCACCTCCTGTTGTACAGCCTGGTTCCTAACAGGCCGGACTGGTACCAGTCCGAGGCCCGGGGATTGGGGACCCTTGCCAAACACCACTTAAACCAATACTAAATATATATGCATCAATGGTATAAATTAATGACTAGTTCTGAATAGATATTATAATATCTGGATTATATTAAAAGCAATAATAAATACTTAGGTATTTCACAGAATTCAAAGATCTGACCAATGAGCTAAATAAAAGCCTCTTTTTTTCTACTTAAACTTGATTTAAAACAACTTTTTTTTTTTTGCTGTACGCAGGCCTCTCACTGTTGTGGCCTCTCCCGTTGCGGAGCACAGGCTCTGGACGCGCAGGCTCAGCGGCCATGGCTCATGGGCCCAGCCACTCCGCGGCATGTGGGATCTTCCCGGACCAGGGCACAAACACGTGTCCCCTGAATCGGCAGGCGGACTCTCAACCACTGCGCCACCAGGGAAGCCCTAAAACAACTTCTTAATTAAACTTTTTAATTTCAAAACATTTTTAATTAGGAAACATTTCTTATATGTTGCAATTAATCATGTATTTCAACCTGCACATCAAAACCATCATGAGGGTCCCCTCTTTTTGTAAGGATAGAGGAAGAAATCTGGTATCATAAACTATGTCAGAACTTCATAAAACACTCTCTAAATTTTTTCTTTTCCTGAAGAAACATTTTGAATATAACAGACACTAATGACTCACCACCAAGATTAAATAAACTTTTAAGACTTTGTCTTACTTGATTTAGATCCAAAAAATAAAATACAGATATAATGAAAGCCCATTCCTCTCTTCCTCATTCCCTAGAGATAACCACTACCCTAAGGCTAATGTGTATCTCTCTCATATATGTTTAGTACTTTTGTTACATATATAAAGATCAGCAAACAATGTTTTTAATCTTACACAAATGGTATCAAAAGTGTGTATAACCTTTTGCAACCTGTTTTTTTAATTTAACATTGTTTCTGAGATAGGTAAATGCTGATAGATGTAAACCTAACTCATTAATTTAACTTCTGCATAGTAGTATTCCATTCTATAAATAAACCACAGTTATTTATCCATTTCCTTCCTGAAGGAAGTTAGGTTATTTCCACTTTTTTGTTATGTAAAAGAGTACTATAATAAACATCTTGGCCCATGTCTTCTTGTGCACCCATTTTCTTTACCAAGAATTGCTAAAATTATCCTCCAGAGTAGTTTCAATGCACGCTCCGATAAGCAAAGAATAAAGAAATCCCAGTTTCAGCAACCTCCAAAAAACTTAATTTTTCGACAGTCTGCTGGGTATTAAATGGCATACCAGGGACTTCCGTGGTGGCGCCGTGGTTAAGAATCCGCCTGCCAATGCAGGGGACACAGGTTCGACCCCTGGTCCAGGAAAATCCCACATGCCATGGAGCAACTAAGCCCGGGTGCCACAACTACTGAAGCCCGAGCGCCCTAGATCTGTGATCTGCAACAAGAGAAGCCACCACAATGAGAAGCCTGCACACAGCAAGGAAGAGTAGCCCCCGCTCGCCACAACTAGAGAAAGCCTGCGCACGGCAACAAAGACCCAATGCAGCCAAAAATAAATAATAAATAAGTAAATTTATTTTAAAAAATGGTATTCCATTATTGTTTTAATTAGAATTTCTCTGATTACTAGTAATATTAGTTACCTCTTTTCTCTTTCTTTCTCTTTCTCCTTTCTGTTTCTCTTCCTCTGCCTCCCCCACCCCTGCTTCCCTCCCTCCCTCTCTCTTTCTTTCTTTTTTGACCCTTAAGTTTTTCCTCTCCTACTTGCTCATTCATAACCCTTGCTCATTTTCCATTTGGTTGGAACCTTGTTTTTCTATAACTGTTGCATTACACAAAATCTCAAATTCATTTTCACACATTTGAATGGTCTAAATCTAAAATAACAAAAATACAGATGTCCTAAATCACATATGCCTACAGAGGCCAATGAAACAGATGAGTACGGTAGGCCAGGTAAAGGCTATGCATAAAGGAAAGCTATGTGTAAAGGAAGCGGGAAGTAGACATTTCTTGGAGCTAACCAATTACTGCTATATACAATAAAAAACAGACTCAGTGTTGACAGATCTTCCAATTAAAAAAAAGCCACAAATTCAGAATTCATGTGCAATCTCCCAATTTCTAATTGATGACAACTAATTCAAAATTTTCTAAAACACTGTATAGACCAAACAAAACCCAACAGTGCCTTGAGTGTCACTGAACGGACCACAGAACTAGGTAAGGACACAGAGTAATATAAAATCTGTATGAAAAAGCTATACCTAAGAGTAATTATTTTATTAATAACCAATACATAAACATGATTAATATTAAACTAAAATTACCTGACCTAAATTACAGATAGTATGTTATTAAGCCTGTAACAGACTGTCAAAATCTCTAACACATAAAGTGAAACTATTTTGGCTCATTTAAAAAAAAAATATTCTCATAAATCTTCCTGTTTCTAAACAAAAATGCCATTTAGTGAACAGTTTTTTGGGTTTTTGTTTTTTGGGGGTTTTTTTGTAAGTGATAATATTCCTTCACACTGTTTACTTCACCAGAACATACCTAAACAGCACTAAAACTTTTACATCTCAACTGGCTGTTTATAGCACTATGTATGAACAAAAAGAAAAGAACAACTCTTTGCCTATTCACAAACTGACTTTTAAAAAAATTTTCAGAAACACAAAAATGAAGCACTGGGGTGTGCTCCAAAGGGTAAAATGAATAAAAACCTTCCAGAGTTTGACGTTTATGCCAACGAAATCATTAACAGTGGGTTATTTACATGTTTGTTGTTTTGTTTTGGGTTTTTTTAATATTTATTTATTTATATGGCTGCGCCAGGTCTTAGTTCTGGCACATGGGATCTAGTTCCCTGACCAGGGATCGAACCCAGGACCCCTGCATTGGAAGCACGGAGTCTTAACCACTGGACCACCAGGGAAGTCCCTAGTTACATGTCTTAATCTTTACCTAGGCAATCCTATTTTCATCCACCAACATCTACAATGAATTTAATGGTAGCCAAGCAGTTAATCTACCATGTCAAGATACCTGTACTGGGCTTCCCTGGTGGCGCAGTGGTTGAGAGTCCGCCTGCCAATGCAGGGAACGTGGGTTCGTGCCCCGGTTCGGGAAGATCCCACATGCCGCGGAGCGGCTGGGCCCGTGAGCCATGGCCGCTGAGTCTGCGCGTCCGGAGCCTGTGCTCCGCAACGGGAGAGGCCACAACAGTGAGAGGCCCGCGTACCGAAAAAAAAAAAAAAAAAAAATACTTGTACTATACTACATATGCCAAATGACATTTATCTCACTACTATTGTACCATTTTGAGGGAAAGTGTTCGTTAACTTTGGAAAGGTACAGGGCACAACATCTAGTTACAAGTACATTCCAATTCCTCCTGGGTTTAGGGAAAACCCACCTGTTTATACTAATGAATTAAGCTGCTAGTTGAACAGCAATTCTTTTTTTTTTTTTTGCGGTACGCGGGTCTCTCACTGTTGTGGCCTCTCCCGTTGTGGAGTACAGGCTCTGGACGCGCAGGCTCAGCGGCCATGACTCACAGGCCTAGCCACTCTGCGGCATGTGGGATCTTCCCGGACCGGGGCAAGAACCCGTGTCCCCTGCATCGGCAGGCGGACCCTCAACCACTGCGCCACCAAGGAAGCCCAATTAATTCTTTTTTTCAGGGTATTGCCATTTCTGGAAGGGTGGAAGGGGAGAACTAAAGGAACAAAAATACTTATCTTAATAATAGAACTCCACTCAAACTTTAAAAAACAGACAGTATATTCTGTCTCATATTAGAGATTTTTTTTTTTTTTGGCCGCACCTCGTGGCATGCAGAACTTCCCCGACAAGGGATCAAACCTGTGCCCCCTGCAGTGGAAGCGTAGAGTCTTAACCACTGGACCACCAGGGAAGCCCCTAGAGATGCATTTTAAACAACAGGATAATCCATAGAAAGGGCTTTTACCACTTAGTGCCTGATACATAGTAATCACTTAATAGATGACATTATTAAGACACATGTACAGAGGGCTTTTCTGGTGGCACAGCGGTTAAGAATCCACCTGCCAACGCAGGGGACACGGGTTCGATCCCTGGGCCAGGAAGATCCCACATGCCGCGGAGCAACTAAGCCTGTGCGCCACAACTACTGAGCCTGCACTCTAGAGCCACAAGCCACAACTACTGAGCCCACATGCCACAACTACTGAAGTCCACGTGCCTAGAGCCCATGCTCCTCAACAAGAGAAGCCACCTAAATGAGAAGCCTGCACACCTCAACGAAGAGTAGCCCCCCACTGGAGGCAACTAGAGAAAGCCGGCGCAGAGCAATGAAGACCCAACACAGCCAAAAATAAATAAATTAAATAAATAAATTAAAAAAAAACAAAACCCGTGCACAGAGACCAAGACTAAATGTGCACCTAACAGTCTATAAAGTACCTAATCAAAATGCTATAAAATTTAAGAACTATGTGCTGTATTATATAGCACATATTATATCTTATATTGGATATCAGCATACTCTATGTACCAACCAAGGAATGTAATTTAAAATATCCGCGTGGACTTAAGCGTATGCTTAAGTACTCAACCACCACACTGATCTTTTTGATGCTTTCCCAACAAGAGCACTGACCTAATGATTCAATATGATTTCTCACACACTAACATTATCATGTTATTGAATACT